ATATTAGCTGGCACAAACTTGCTGGTATTTTGATTTTTTTCTTTTGGTTGGGTTTTATGTAGAGCTGTCATCGATATCAACAATATCGATGTATCATTGATATTTTTTTGTCGATCAATAATCGATACACATTTTAAAAAATCGATACTTTTGACTTATAAGTTAAATGTCTAGAAATTATACAATTCACCCAAAATATATGCAGAAACAATTATTTATATCTAATGTTATGCTTTTGTTATATAGTGGAATTATTTCATAGCAATGGTGACAAAAAATATTGTCTGGAAAAAATCATGCAGTGGACAAGACACTGTACAGAACATGTTTTTGACTGAAATCATTGAAACAGGTATGAAAGTGAATGACAGACAAGTGAGTATAGGATATTATCGATATATCGGTGTATCGTTGATTTTAGTTACTTGATATCGATATATCGTTGATATGCTTTGCACTGAATCAATGACAGCTCTAGTTTTATGTTGCACCATCACTTGCAGTCCAATATCAGTTGGCACAGCACAATCATGCTGTTTTTTTAGTTTTCTGTTTGTTTGGGTTTTAAGTTGCACCATCACTGTAAAGGTCATATGTGGATGAACAAATATGAACCTTACAAGAATGGAAAAGCTTGAATCAAATACATTTAAAATTATAAACATTATACTTACAGAAGTTTTTAGATCAGTTAATGTTTGGGTGACTATGATGTTAAATACGGCATGTGATCTGCTGCTCTCACTGTTCATATTGGTGGCCGCCACAGTTCTTGATTTGTTCCCCTCATTCATTAAATTGTTTATATCCTGTTTAAATAAAACAACAACCACATTAAAATGTTGATTTTCATATCAAAGGATGTATAAGGAATATATAATTTCGAATTATCGAATAAAAATGTTGCCAAAATTAAAGACATTTTTGTTAAGATAACTTAGACAAAGCATTGTACAGCTACATATAGTGTTTAGATATCCTATGTTTTATTGACTTCATTAGTATTGTATAAAAGGCTTCTACATCAATGCATTGTTTCATTGAGCTAAACTTTGTAATTCTCACTCATTTGATAAACCGCTTAGGGTCTATCAATAACTATATTATCAACAAGCTTAAGGTGTATCCTTTACTACATAAATCAGCAAGCTAAAGCTCTTTTACAAGCTTTAATAAGGTCTGTCCTTAACTACATAAGACACTTATAGATATTGTAGACTTGTACTTACTTCAAATGATGTTACAACTAATGTTGATAAACCATCTACATATGGTCCCAATATATTGTGTTCCCTAACTTTTAAATTCTGTTTGTGCCTGTAATAAGAAACAAAGAAAGAAATGAATTCTTCATATAAGTCAATGCTGGTGGGTATAGACAACTGGATGCATTTACCACTGTCATGACATGAACATCCACATTCAAGCCAAAGCTTCTACATTTTAAAATATTTTACATTCCTGGACTTTATTCTTGGTTTTGACTTTTCAAAATTTTAATATAGGAATGTAACAATATCTTCAATATTTATTATTATCATCATATAATATGCCACTTCTTTTCAAAAACAAGTCAAAACAGTTAAATTTTTCTCAATAGTTGAAAGTTTTATTTTTTTGGTTGCTATTGGGAAATTTATTAAATTGAAGTTAAGAAAAAAAAAGGCTAATTTAGATTGGGATTAGGGCCTAACATCGGCCCCTTGTGATATATAACGAAAGTGCCCTGAGATTATATAGATGCTTGATATTTAAAAAAAAAATTTCTACCTTACACTTGGTATACAAGCATTTTCTTACCCTTTTAAATCTAGTAAATCATGAACTTTTTCGTTATATATTTCCAGGTATGATACTTCCACTTTAAAGCTGGTTGTTTCATTTTCTAGCCTAGCAATACGATCAAACAATGCGTCACATAGACGAGGAATTATACCCTTCTCCTCCATTGTTCCCATCATTGTGTACGATTTCCCCGAACCTGAAAAATAATCGCTGCAATGAACATCTTATTATAAAACACTTCAAACACTTTTTACTTGTTAAAATAGTCAGGGCAATTGAGATCATTATTATGTGATATATGCGCTAATATGTAAAAGAATTTCTACAAGTTATATGATGTCTTCTTGCATATCTGATAGGATTATCTACAGTTTACACCGGTACTAGAAAAGCCTGTCTTACACCCCGCACATAAAACAAGTTGCATGTTTTAAATGATGTCATTCCTGTGCGCCTTTTAAGAATGAATTGCGTGCTTAGTTATGAATGAAGTTGAAAATTCATACACTACTATAAGAAACAAGGGTGCCATAGTCACAAAATACGCCCGTTTACGAAAAAGCTTTAGATGGAGATGGGGGCATTATGGATAAGTGTTATCTAGCAAGCAAGTTTTTGTTCTTGGCACTGTGTTGTTAAATGAACCTTAAAACAAATCAATAGGGAAGATATGCACAGAATGTGTGACCTTGACCTTGGTCGCAGGGACCTGAATTTTATGCACGGCACTCAGCCTCACAATGATGAACATTTGTGCCAAATTATATTGAAATCCCTCTATGCATGTAGAAGTTTTGCTCCAGACAAGTGTTTTTCTATGAGCTCTAACTGTGACCTTCACCTTTGACCTAGAGACTTGGTTTATGTGCAGGGCACTACGTCTCATGGTGGTGAACAATTCTATAAAAGTAACATTAAAATTCCTCCATGCATGTAGAAAATATGCTCCGGACAACATCTGGATATTTAATCATCTCCAGTGACCTTGACCTTGCAAATATTAACCTAAATTAAATGTGTAACACCTGTAGTCATGATAGTTACCATTTGTGCTACAATCCATCAATAAATGATGACTAAATGGTCCCTATAACCATCTTCAAATTTTTATCTGAACTTTGACCTCTATGTGTAACCTTGACTTTGGTCGCAGGGATCTGAATTTTGCATGCGACACTCAGCCTCACAATGGTGAACATTTGTGCCAAGTTATATTGAAAACCCCCTATGAATGTAGAAGTTTTGCTCCGGACAAGCATTTTTCAATGAGCTCTAAGTGTGACCTTGACCTTTGACCTGGAGACCTGGATCATGCATGGAGCAATACATATCATGGTGGTGAACATTTCCATAAAGTATTATAAAAATTCTTCCATACATGTAGGAGATATGCTCCAGACAAAATCTGGATATTTCACCATCTTTAGTGACCTTGACCTTGCATATATTGACCTAAAGTACATGTGTCACAGCCGTAGTCATTATAATGACCATTTGTGTTACAATCCCTCAATAAATGATGATAAAATCGTCCCTATACACATCTTCATATTTTTATCTTTTTTTAAACGGGCGTATAAAAAGTACATGTAATTTAATAACTAAAAAATTCTGATTTAAGATTTTATTCTAGGGAAATACATTTCATTACAATTCTTAATCTTTGAATGAGCTGAACTGATATTTACTTGAAAATTAAAATATAATTAAATTTCTATGAGAAAGTATTTACATTTGATAAGGTAATTACTGTATGATCTTTATGAACAAATACCAAGTCTACAGAACACCATAGTTATCACAGTTAAGAATCTTGACCAATGAATGAAACATGTGTAAATAAATGTTACATTCTTTAGAACATACTCAAGTCCAAGAAAGAGGATTATTTCATGCCCTTTGATTAAATTCTATTTTTAGAATTGAAAGTGAAAATAGATCAAGGGGAGTAATTGTGTAAGTCATTTATGAACAAAGTAATAACTTTGTTGTCTCCCTTTGATTAAATTCTATTTACAAAATCTGGATATTTCATCATCTTTAGTGACCTTGACCTTGTATATATTGACCTAAATTATATGTATCACAGCCATAGTCTTGATAATGACCATTTGTGTTACAATCCCTCAATAAATGATGACTAAATGGTCCATATACACATCTTCATATTTTTATCTGAACTTTGACCTCTATGTGTGACCTTGACCTTGGCCGCAAGGACCTGAATCTTGCACGCGACACTCCGCCTCACAATGGTGAACATTTGTGCCAAGTAATATTGAAATCCCTCTATACATGTGGAAGTTTTGCTCCGGACAAGCATTTTTCAATGAGCTCTAAGTGTGACCTTGACCTTTGACCTAGAGACCTGGTTCATGTGCGCGACACTGCTCCTCATAGTGGTGAACATTTATATGAAGTTTCATTAAAATCCCTCCATACATGTAGGAGATATGCTCCGGACAAAATTGGACGCCGCCCGCCCGCCCGCCCGCCAGGGGCGTTCCCATAATACGTCCCGTTTTTCAAACGGGCGTATAAAAACTGTGAAATAAAAAAATTAGTTTTTCATAATTTCTTTTCGTAATATCATTAATTTGTAATATGCATGAAAAAGAATCAAAAATTTGCTTTTATTACAGACAGGAATATCTAGCTCTCGGGAAACTGTTCAGTGGAAACTGGGCAGACCCTTGTTACCGCCATAAACAGTTACCCTCAAGCTAGATATTCCGGTCTATACCGACAGCCGGCGTAAAATTTTTAAAAGATGTGATGTCATTAAACTAAATGACAGGAAAATTACTTTTCCATGAATAAAAATTCAACATATTTCTTTAATTGATTCTAAATAGCATATTATAATTGAATATTTATAAAATTTTCTTCCGCTGTAGTACAATTAGCTATAGCAAAAACCAAACAAACAAACTGCACCAGAATAGAACTTTTGCACATTTTTTGTTTGTTTAACATTTCTTTTGTTCAAGACAACAAATTTTCAAGTAGAGCTGTAAACTAATATGCATTTTTTGTAAGAAACTTTAAAATATAATTCCACCGTCTACCTGTTTGTCCATAAGCAAATATACAGCCATTGTAGCCTTCAAATGCCCCTTGTAAAACCGGATCACCAAGGTTCTGGAACACTTTTTCCTGACCTGTAAATATAAAACAAAAATTTATATAATTTTCTATAAACATGTACATGTATATTATAAGTTATAAAGTTTTTGATAGGTTATATGGCCCTATGGTTGTTAGTGGTTCAGGTTATATTGCAAGCAACCATTTATATACTGTTATATAACCTGTCAGGAATATTTATATCTAATTTATTATACAGAAAAATTCCTGTTTTAGAAAAAAGATTTCTTCATAAATTGACAGCAGCCATGTATATAGAACTATATCAACATTCAATTTATCCAATGGATTGCGATGTTACAAACATGCAGTATTATAAATATTAACCTGTGATAATATTGTACTACACCCTGATAATGTTGGCAGTCAATTACTGGTATTAAGTTGAGACTCAGGAAAGGTCAGGGTCAAATGGGCCTATTTCTGAATCAATTTAGACTCCAACTTTACTCTCAGGAAAGGTCAGGGTCAAATGGGCCTATTTCTGAATCAATTTAGACTCCAACTTTACTCTCAGGAAAGGTCAGGGTCAAATGGGCCTATTTCTGAATCAATTTAGACTCCAACTTTACTCTCAGGAAAGGTCAGGGTCAAATGGGCCTATTTCTATATCAATTTAGACAAAGCATTTGGGTAGAACCATCATTCCAATTCAAATTAACTCTATATACAGCTTCCATACATACACCTTGTATGCAAACTACAATATAATCGAAAAGATAACTAACTTCATACGAGGAAAGAAAAAAATTGTCTTAGCAATGTTAATACGAAAATCAGACTGAAAAAGAAAGACAACTCTTACAGAACTATTCTTCAATCCAGTCAAGTATTACTTCCCTTGCTAAGTTTTCTATTTGAACAGGCCCAGTGCTGATTTCCCAAGAGTCATCAAAATTCCAGCACATTACTAATAATACTGATTAAAACAGTAATGTAAAGTACCAATTTCTGTTAATCTAATAATAGATCTAATTACTGTCATCAATGACTGATTAAATTCTCTTTGATCGAGAGAAAATAACATGAATCCATTGGACTTACTGGTAAAAAAAGGTCAATTCGCTTCAAAAATAACTGCAAAATTCTTTTTTAAATATGTATGTGTCAAATCTTACAATACACCCAATTTTGTCTTAAGAAAAAAATCCTTAAAGCCACCTTCAGCTTTTCCAAAGGTTAAATGAGCCGTGTCATGACAAAACCAACATAATGGGTTTGCGACCAGCATGGATCCAGACCAGCCTGCCCATCCGCACAGTCTGATCAGGATCCATGCTGTTCGCTATCAGTTTCTCTACTTGTAAAAGACTTGGTAAGCGAACAGCATGGATCCTGATCAGACTGCGCGGATGCGCAGGCTGGTCTGGATCCATGCTGGTCGCAAACCCATTATGTTGGTTTTGTCATGACACGGCTCAAATATGTTATTTATAGAAAAATCTCATTATATGATTGTCAAATCAAAAGAATTCATGTGGAAAATATAATTTGCTGTCGATAAAATACATAAACAATAAGGAAACCCCTTGATATCTGTAATCCACTCTCTATATATGTATATATTAGTTAGGGGGACCATTTGTTGCCCTATCTTCTATTTTTAAGAATGAAAGTCACTCATGCGTTATAAATAGCTTACACAACGCTGTTTTGAAAAAGACTTTTATTAGTGATATGATGCACATTTTCAAGATAATATTACTGAAATACTTAGTTTGAAATAACGCACACACAAAAATTTCCAACAAAGAAAAAAACTAAAGGCCACTTTAATATATAAAGAAAAAAATTCTAAAAACTGAAGGCCACTTTAATATATAAAGAAAAAAATTCTCATAAAAGTAGATGAGAAAAGCCATTGTTTCCAGTCTGATATCAGATAACAAGTCTTGTAAATGACACATGAATAATTACAATTTCCACCTACAACTCCTGAGATTTATCTGTATATACTATGATAATATAGAAGAAAACTATTAACAGCTTCTCCTACACAATCTAAAGTTCATTTATATGTATTGATATTCACTTTCACATAATGATGTCTAAAATGAGAGAGATACAAATACCAAGAAAGGTGGATCAGTAATAATGTCATTTTTTTTTCCAATTAAAATTTCATCTCCTACACAACATTTTTCTATTCAAAACCTCAAAAAAATAAACAGTTTTAGCTATACATTCATTGAACACAAAAATCAAGAGAATATCAGAACAACAACACGGTGCGTATTTAGGCAATTAATTTTACAAAATACTCAATAGACTTTTTAAAATGCATATCAAAACCCATTAAATTTTAAAAAATAAAGTACGCAATTGTCCTTAATATGTGCCCGTATTGTCATTTTCATCATCACAAAAGTAACCTGTTGTTGCTCATAGTTTTGGACAATAGGTAAATGCTATCCAGATATTCCCAAATGTAATTCAGGATTTACTAATTGTTGGTCTCCGGTTTTCAACAAAATTGGACAATGATAACTTAATCAAATGGCAACCAGTTACAATACGCATAAATATATTATGTTTGTTTTTTGTTTGATTGGGTTTTCCGTCACACCAACACAGTATAGGTCATATGGCAGCTTTCCAGCTTTACTGGTGAAGTAAGACCTCAGGTGTCCTTTTGTGCATTATTTTAAGCAAGAACGGGCACCTGAGTAGAACCACCGACGTTCCGTAAGCTAACTGAATAGCATCCTCACATGCAAGAATCCAAAGTCCCTGTCGGGATTCGAACCCACAGCATGGGGGGCAAGTGGTTTTCAAGTCAACAACCTTACCCACTCAGCCTTGGATGCCCCTGCATAAATATACTATCTACATCAGTACAGCTTATACTAAAGTTACAACACAGGATCATATTTTTCCGAAAAAAAACCCCTTAAAATGACGCATTTGATGAACTGACAAGCTGGACACGAGTTTTGTGCACATAATTTTCATCTGACCAACATAAAACGAACAACCTACACGCCTCCAATCCCTCCTCTTAAAGTAAGATCTTTTTATATATGATAATACTTCAACCTCTGTTGGCTCAAACTACCGTTGTCTCGAAACAAATTTTCACAGGTCCTCTGAGATCGTGATAACAAAGTTCGACTGTATACATGTATATGCAGTCCTAACAAGATTACTTGTATTTGTCTAGATTTTGTTTCAATAAAGACAATCTGAAAAATGTTCCCATAAAAAAAAGATAGCGAAGTTACACAATTGATTTTTCCCCTGGTAAACTCTTCTAGATTATCTGAAACTAATGTCTTTTCTGCAGCAAAATTTAATTAAATAAATAGACAGGGATTCAGCATTATTAACGTATATATTAAACATCTGTCTCGGAAGAAAAGTAGGAAAATATAGTTTCCTTCAGATAGATTTTTTGTTTCTTTGTCATATTAATATAACATAATATCGTTAATATATTATAATAGTATTTCTATGATTTACAGGATAAAAAAAAAGTTCAAAATTCAAACTTGGCAATAATTTTCCGCAAAATTCCCTGCTGAGTAATGAATCTAAATTCTACACCATATAAAGCCTTCAATTGAAATTTAAAACATTCTTGTTGCTATGGTGACGATGATAGATAATGAAATCTTGTTACAGACACTTGCAGTCAATTAACAAATGAAATAATCTGAAATCATTGATCTTAATGCCCTATGTTCTCTCCAGAAAGACATTTTTATAATATCTAGGATTGTCCATAATGGAAAGGTTGATTTATTTCCAATAGTAGCTGACCAATGTATGCTAACTAACAAGAGGGCCAAGATGGCCCTGGATCGCTCACCTGAGATTCATGCTAGAAAAGGGTAAAGCCAGTAATGAAAATCTGGAAACAAAGTGATCCCTCGGAAGCATTAATCACAACAAAATTACATGAAAATTGCAGACTTGGTTTGATTGAGTCTGTACATGAAGTCACATTTGGTTTGTCATTTGTTTCTCTAGGCTGCATAATTTTTGAAAATATTTGTAGATATCTACTACTAAATGCTTCATGAAGTTTCTAAGCTCTTGGCATTGTACTGTCTCACAAGACTTAATTAACTAATTGTTTTACTATGTATAATAGACTATATATTAAATTTAGTGACCGTCAGAGAGGGCCATTACTAATCCCAGAGGTATGACTGATATAACTTTTGTAGAGGACAACAAGGTCATGCAAAATATCTAAGCTCTGGACAATGAACTGTCAGAGAAGAATGATTTCAAAGACAATTTTACTTTACAAGACTATGAACCAAGTGTCCCCAGTGCCATTTTTTATCACAGGAGGATGGCTTATATAATTTTGTAGAAGGCTACAAAGTGATCCTACATGCAAAATGTCTTAACTCTTGGCACTGTAATTTTTCTATACAAGTTTATGTAAATTAAGTGACCCCAAACTTTTGTAGAGGACCACCAGTCCTAAGGATCATCCATGTAAAGTTTGGTCAAAATCCATAAACAGTTTTAGGAGATGATATTTAAAGAAATTCTGGACAATGGGAACTACAGAATGACAAGCGAAGGACAAATTGTCATCACAAAAGCTCACCTCTGAGTTTTTAGTGCTCATGGCAGCTAAACATGAAAAGCAAAAATGCTGACTCAACAAATTCTATAATTTCTATATCAGCAATAACACAAACATTGAATAAATGCTCATTTACTTGAAAAGTGTCTAACTGATTGCCAAAAGCACATTTCTATGGTAGAGAGAAAAATCACCAAGAACATAATGAACATCTCTAGTTCAAAGCAACGTCATCTAAGGAAAAGATGAATATCTCTCGTAAATTTCCACTGCCTAGATGAACATCTTTTCCAGAGAACATCAAAAAGTCCTAGATGAAAAAACATCACCATAGCCAATTCAATATATTTGGTAGATTTTTTAAGAAACATGAACCAAGGCCTAGATAGACATCTTTGATAGAGAGAAACATAACCAATGCCTAGATAGACATATTTGGTAGAGAGAAACATGAACCAATGCCTAGATGGACATCTTTGGTAGAGAGAAACATGAACCAATGCCTAGATGGACATATTTGGTAGAAAAAAACATGAACCAATGCCTAGATGGACATATTTGGTAGAGAGAAACATGAACCAATGCCTAGATGGACATCTTTGGTAGAGAGAAACATAACCAATGCCTTGATGGACATCTTTGGTAGAGAGAAACATGAACCAATGCCTAGATGGACAACTTTGGTACAGAGAAACATAACCAATGCCTAGATGGACATCTTTGGTAGAGAAAAACATAACCAAAGCCTAGATTGACAACTTTGGTAGGGATATATAACCAATGCCTTGATGGACATCTTTGGTAGAGAAAGACATAACAAATGCCTTGATGGACATCTTTGGTAGAGAAAAATTACACTAAAGCCTAGATTGACATCTTTGGTAGAGAAAAGCATAACCAAAGCCTAAATGGACATCTTTGGTAGAGAAAAGCATAACCAAAGCCTAGATGGACATCTTTGGTAGAGAGAAACATAACCAATGCCTAGATGGACATCTTTGGTAGAGAAAAGCATAACCAAAGCCTAGATGGACATCTTTGGTAGAGAAAAGCATAACCAAAGCCTAGATGGACATCTTTGGTAGAGAGAAACATCACCAATGCCTAGATGGACATCTTTGGTAGAGAGAAACATGAACCAATGCCTAGATGGACATCTTTGGTAGAAAGAATTATAACCAATGCCAAGATGGACATATTTGGTAGAGAAAAGCATAACCAAAGCCTAGATTGTCATCTTTGGTAGAGAGAAACATAACCAATGTCTAGACGGACTTCTTTGGTAGAGAGAAACATAACCAATGCCTAGATGGACATCTTTGGTAGAAAGAATCATAACCAATACCTTTATGGACATCTTTGGTAGAGAAAAGCATAACCAAAGTCTAGATTGACATCTTTGGTAGAGAGAATCATAACCAATGCCTTGATGGACATCTTTGGTAGAGAAAAACATAACCAATGCCTAGATGGACATCTTTGGTAGAGAAAAACATAACCAATGCCTTGATGGACATCTTTGGTAGAGAAAAGCATAACCAAAGTCTAGATTGACATCTTTGGTAGAGAGAATCATAACCAATGCCTTGATGGACATCTTTGGTTGGAAAAAAAACATAACCAATGCCTAGATGGGCATCTTTGGTAGAGAAAAACATAACCAAAGCCTAGATGGACATCTTTGGTAGAGAAAAACATATCCAATGCCTTTATGGATATCTTTGGTAGAGAAAAGCATAACCAAAGCCTAGATTGACATTTTTGGTAGAGAAAAACATAAGCAATGTCTAGATGGACATCTTTGGTAGAGAAAAACATAAGCAATGCCTAGAAGGACATCTTTGGTAGAGAAAAACATAACCAATGTCTTGATGGACATCTTTGGTAGAGAAAAGCATAACCAAAGCCTAGATTGACATTTTTGGTATAGAAGAACATAAGCAATGCCTAGATGGACATCTTTGGTAGAGAAAAACATAAGCAATGCCTAGATGGATATCTTTGGTAGAGAAAAGCATAAGCAATGCCTAGATGGAAATCTAAATAAAGAGAAATGTATCCAATGCCTTGATAGGCATCTTTGGCAGAGTGGAACATAACCAATGCCTAGATGGACAACTTTGGTAATGACAAACATAACCAATGCTTAGATGGACATCTGATTCTGTGGTAGAGAATGCATAAGTAATGCAATATCACACAGACCAAGATGAATATGTCTAACTGTTACAAATAACACTAAGGTCTAGATGAATTTGTCCAATAGACAGACACTAACACTAAGGTCTAGATGAATATATATCTAGTGGAAAGAATTATAACCAAAGCCTAGTCAGTGACCTTGGCCTTTGATCTCATCAAGGTGTATCCACATATGAAGTTTCATTGTCCTATTGAAGTTAATTATCATAAATAAAAAATCTTAACCAAAACATTTAAACAATGGCACTGCAGACAATGCATACTTCATAACAATACCACCACCTTTTTTCTTCAAAAAAGTGGAGCTAAAAATCATACAGTCATAGAATTTGTTGAGTCAGTATTTCTTCTTTTTTTTCTTTTCAACATGCAGTATCAATTTCTATTGGAAATAAATCAACCTTTCCATTATGGACAATCCTAGATATTATAAAAATGTCTTTCTGGAGAGAACATTGGACATTAAGATCAATGATTTCAGATTATTTCATTTGTTAATTGACTGCAAGTGTCTGTAACAAGATTTCATTATCTATCATCGTCACTATAGCAACAAGAATGTTTTAAATTTCAATGAAAGTCTTTATATGGTGTAGAATTTAGATTCATTACTCAGTGTGGAATTTTCTTGAAAAATAATTGCCGACTTTGAACTTTGAATTTTTTTATCTTGTAAATGACAGAACTACTATGTAAATTAAATTATGTTATACCATTTAAATGACAAGAAACAAAAATTCTATCTAAAGGAAACTATCCTTTCTTACATTTAACCTCCCTAGACAGATGCATAAAATAAGTGTTAATAATACTGAACCCTTGACTTTTTATTTAATTAAATATTGCCCTCCTGCCAATGTTAATCAATTCATAACTAGTATTTTCTTTCAGAAAACCTGGTTAATTAGTGTGTTTAGAATAAACCAGTTGTAATTAAGAGCATATTGCCACCTTAGTGCAATAACGGGTTATGTCCTTCTAAATTTAATAGGAGTTAACCAGTTATTGCACTAAGGTGACAAATTATTATCCGAACAGTTTTTTCAATCAACCAAACTGGATATAACAATGAAAATGATACAAAAATCCCTATTATTTTCTTACCATGAAACTTAGGGTTATCTTTATCCATTGACCAGAAGCAGTGGTCAAATGCAAATGACTTTGGTGCTTTTCGGCGGCCCTTTTTGACGTCTTCTCCACACCCCACCATGTGACCATGTTCATCAATAGGGCTGAAAATACATTATGATAACACTATCAATAAATATAGTTAAAATCACTACTGATAATTAGGGCTTGATAACTTTTTCTTAATGAATACCAATTCAACAGCGCTATTTGTTTGAAATTTATTGCGCATTCAGTATAGGTTTAGTGTTCATAAGTAAGGATAGGTTTAGTGTTAATAAGTAAGTATAGGAGGTTTAGTGTTAAGTAAGGATAGGTTTAGTGTTCATAAGTAAGTATAGGTTTAGTGTTCATAAGTAAGTATAGGTTTAGTGTTCATAAGTAAGTATAGGTTTAGTGTTCATAAGTAAGTATAGGTTTAGTGTTTATAAGTAAGTACAGGTTTAGTGTTCATAAGTAAGGATAGGTTTAGTGTTTATAAGTAAGTACAGGTTTAGTGTTCATAAGTAAGTATAGGTTTAGTGTTCATAAGTAAGTATAGGTTTATTGTTCATAAGAAAGGATAAATTTAGTGTTTATAAGTAAGTACAGGTTTAGTGTTCTAAGTAAGTATAGGTTTAGTGTTTATAAGTATGTATAGGTTTTTTGTTCATAAGCAAGGATGGTGATAGTGTTCATAAGTAAGTATTATAAGTTTATTGTTCATAAGTAAGTATAGGTTTATTGTTCATAAGAAAGGATAAGTTTTGTGTTCCATAAGTAAGTGTAGGTTTATAGTGTTCATAAGTAAGCATTATAAGGCTTATTTTTCATATGTAAGTATAGGTTTAAAGTTTATCAGTAAGGATAGGATAAGTGTTCATAAGTAAGTACAGGTTTAGAGTTTATGGGTAACGATAGGATTAGTGTTCTTAAGTAAGCATAGGTTTAGAGTTGATGAGTAACGATAGGATTAGTGTTCATAAGTAAGTATAGGTTTATAGTGTTCATAAGTAAGCATTATAAGGCTTAGTGTTCATAAGTAAGTATAGGTTTAGAGTTGATGAGTAGCGATAGGATTAGTGTTCATAAGTAAGTATAGGTTTAGAGTTGGTGAGTAAGGATAGGATAAGTGTTCATAAGTAAGTATAAGTTTAGAGTTGATGAGTAAGGATAGGATTAGTGTTCATAAGTAAGTATAGGTTTAGAGTTGATGAGTAAGGATAGGATTAGTGTTCATAAGTAAGTATAGGTTTAGAGTTTATGAGTAAGGATAGGATTAGTGTTCATAAGTAAGTATAGGTTTATAGTTGATGAGTAAGGATAGGATTAGTGTTCATAAGTAAGTATAGGTTTAGAGTTTATGAGTAACAATAGGATTAGTGTTCTTAAGTAAGCATAGGTTTAGAGTTGATGAGTAAGGATAGGATTAGTGTTCATAAGTAAGTACAGGTTTAGAGTTGATGAGTAAGGATAGGATTAGTGTTCATAAGTAAGTATAGGTTTATAGTTGATGAGTAAGGATAGGATTAGTGTTCATAAGTAAGTATAGGTTTAGAGTTGATGAGTAAGAATATGTTTCGTCTCAAGTTCATGAGGTTCTGTTAGAATATCCTAACTACAAAGACAACCAAAATCTTGTTGGAATATCTTAACTACAAAGCCAACAATGAATATGAAGTTTAAAATACAATGTTAACATAATTGTTAGTCAAAGAGTTTTTATTGTCAACTTAAGCTTTACGGCTGCCATAGAAACAGGTCAACAGATTCCTTTAATAAGAATAAATACCATTTACCATATCTGTTATATTATAAACGTACTGACATTTCTTTTCTGTAAATGACATTAAGTGACTTACTCCAAAGATAATTGAATTAATATCTAGGAATACTGTCATGTTCTGGGGCATTTAACTGTTAATCAATACTTATTCAATAAACAAGAGGATTTCTGTCTGAATTGTGCAAACTAAAAACAAAATAATTATGACAATTGTATCAATAAAGTCTATTCTTGCTAGTTTGTTTGTTTATTTACACCCATTCCAACACATTTTTTTTTGTTTTATCATTGATGTTGGTCCACCTAACTGGCTTTCTGGGATTCTAACATGTAATTACAATTTTCTACTCCATTGACCAATAGGACTGAATAGCAAATTATCTGGCTGAATAGAGAATTATCTGGCTGGATAGAGATTTATCTGACTAAGTAGAGAATTATCTGGCTGAAAATGAATCATCTGGCTGAAAGAGAATCATCTGGCTGGAAAGAGAATTATCTGACTGAATAGAGAATTATCTGGCTGAATAGAGAATTATCTGGCTGGATAGAGAATTATCTGGCTGGAAAGAGAATTATCTGGCTGAAAGAGAATTATCTGGCTGGAAAGAGAATTATCTGACTGAATAGAGAATTATCTGACTGAATAGAGAATTATCTGGCTGGATAGAGAATTATCTGGCTGGAAAGAGAATTATCTGGCTGAAAGAGAATTATCTGGCTGGAAAGAGAATTATCTGACTGAATAGAGAATTATTTGACTGAATAGAGAATTATCTGATTATCTGACTGAACCGATAATTATCTGTCTGGATGGAACACTATGGGGCTGAATAGGGAATTTTTGGCTGAATAGAACAATATCTGGCTGAATAAAAAAAACATCAGGCTAAAAGAGGATTATTTGACCGATTCAGAGTTATCTGACCTAGAGAGTTATCTGACCTAAACGACCAATTAAAACTTTACTGACCTAATCAGTAAACTAACAGGCCAAATGTCAAAAACTGATGGTAAAACAGTTCTTTATATTTTGGTATTGCATTGTCAATATTGTAAATGTACAGAAATATTTATACAATACATTTATCTTCATATCAGAAAACTCATGTGAAAGAATTATAAACCATTTACTATTCAAAACAAATCATTGCTAGAAGACATGAATAACTCACTCATCCCGCCTGTATAATCACAGTACCTAAAATATCTGAAGATAGGACAAAATAATATCCATTTTCTGTCATTTCCATAGCAATGAATTTATGATTTATCTCTACTGTAACAAACATGGAGCTACACAAATCAGCTTGAATCTATAAATAGATGTATAAATCAAGAGGTTTTCTAAAGACATTTCCTATTTTATCTTACCTAAACTATCAGTGATTTTTCACCTTATAAATTCAAGTGATTTTTCACCTTCTATAAGTTCTGAGGCCCGCAAAATGAAATTTTCTTGAAAAATTATGCAGTTTTCCCAAAAAATATTCCCAGTTTTTTACATCCTAATTTAGCAAATTTTTCAATAACTTTTCCCAAAATCATGAGGCTAAAGCCTCCCAATTTAGTGAGAATAACCATGCATTGACTATAATTTGGAAGACGGACATATTGTCTTTACCTGGGCCTCAATAAAATTTTAAGACAAGTTGTGTGCTTAAAGTGATGTCATATATTCCAGATCAATTTTTTTTAATGAATTTCGTTCTTAGTATTATTCCATTTCGCTATTATGAATAAAGTTGTAAATTCTAAGGCTATTATAAGAAAGAGGTACCAAATGGAAATATCAGTTTTTGCATTTTTTTTTCAAATTTGAAATTAATAATTTAATCCCACAAGAAAAAGAATAAAAACATGGCTCCCAGCATCACAGACAAAAAAAATTTATTCTAGCTCTTTGGGGAAAACCCCGAATTTTTCCCCCAAAAAACAGCAAAAAAGTTTTCCCGGCCCTTTTCCCTTTTTAAAAATTTTTTTTTTTTTTATTCCTGGGTTGGGGATTTTTAAAAAAATTTTCCCCGGGTTCTTTTGGGTCCCCCCCGGGGCCCAACCCCCCCCCTGCGGTTCCTGAAATTTCCCCTTTGGGCCCCGGGGCATTGTTGAAAAATTTGGCCCAAAAAGGATTTTTTTGGGGTTTTGTTTTTTTTTGGGGTTTGGGTTTTTTTTTTACGTCACATCGATAGCTGCTGGTTGTTTCCCCTCACATGAAAAATCCAAAGTCCCTTTTGGGGACCCCCCAGGGGGTGGGGGGCAAGTGATTTGAAGTCAACGACCTTAACCACTCGGCCACGGACGCCCCATGCACAGATTAAGTCGCTGCCCAGGTCATTTGGCAAAAATAAAACACATATTTTAAAGAATCAAATTTTCAAAACAAAAAAGGCACATTTAATAAACGACGCAAGTGAGATTTTGTCACAATATGTAAAACCTAAAAATGTTAAAATAATTCTTATAATTATATCATAATGATAATGATAGATGAATATAAAACATCGATCAGACAATAGAAAAAATATTTCCGGGGATAAATCTTTCCATTATTATACCAACTATTATCTCTGTTATACCAATATAACAAAATTACCAATTCGGATACAAACAGACGTAAATTCCCTGAGATAAAAAGGATTTTTCTAAGCAGAAACTTTAATAATACTTTATCAATATTGTCTAATTCTGAGAATCTATCCAGCTTACATATTAAACATTGGATCAAGACAAATGATTTTTCTGTCCAATTACATTAATTCAGCCCTTTTTTACTGATTACAATTCCCGTAAGATACAACACAAGAATATTCTCCCGACAGTGCGATGATGACAAGACCAAGAAAATTAGCCGATTTCAATGATTATGGTGTTAATTCTCATTAACGCTAAGCATCCCTATGGTACGTGTACCGATGTTTGAAGCATGGAAAACTTGTCATTTGCTTTTTTTTTGCTTCAAAATCTGTTTCAGCTATGTACTGTGAAATCAGAAATCAGGTCAGCAAAATAAGAAACTTTAAAACATAACGATAAATGTAAGGCAACAAGATTATATAGATGATATTGAATGAGAGCAAGTTTAAAACTGAATTTATTGAACGACTTGAATAAAATTATATTATGCGAGCCTCTGGTTCAATAAATTTAGTATTAAACTTACAAGAATTCAATATTCTATTTATCACATACCAAAACTAAAGACCGTTGGAAGTGAAAAAGACCCATTTTTCATTGAAGCTGCTATAGTATAACGCTAAAATAGTATAACGCTAACATTTAAGCGTCTTAATGCTATGTTTATATAATGAAAACGACATCACGTCAAAATATCTGCCACGGCAGTGCAATACCATTTTTTTAC